CCTGCATATAGTATATTCTCTTGGAAATGTTATTGTCCGACGAGCCTTCGTCACGACAATAATATTTTCAAGTTGGATTGATGAATCTAGGGACCTTTTTAGAACCTTGGAGACAATGATTGTGTAGTATTGTCCCGCAAGGTATCTTCCACATTAGGATTATACAAAGACCTCACAAAGAATAGATCGTTTTGAGGGTATTATTGTCCGACGAGTCTTCGTCGTGACGGTAATATTCTCAAGAAAGATTCATGACTCTAGGAACCTACCAATTGTAGAGTCTTGCAATGGGGTTCCTTTAATCAGAGATACCAACTATTTTCCCGTTATTCTGATCAATCTAAAAGTATGATGCACCTGTGATCCTAAAACCATGCATAAACATTTGCATATTCATGAACATAATATTTGCATTTTGTTTCCAAGGAGTCTGAGAATTACAGTTGCAAACATTTAGAAAGTACGGGATCATACAAACGAAGCACTTACTTCTACAAGTTCAAAGACTCTCAGTTGGACAGCCTGCATGAGTTGGTTTCTCGGTTGCATCTGGTCTACAAAATCAACTTTGGAAAAACTATTGAAATCTGCTCAGTCTCCTTGGCGCTTTTGACTTTAGATCAGTTTTATGATCTACCCATAAGGTGATTCACATTTCAATATTTTCAGCTAGCACCTATGTTAGAAGAATCTCATCACCTTGTTGGCATTCCTATGAAGAACAAACTTTCATTCGTGGGTGTATAATAACCTTTAAAGCACGAAACAATAGATGTTGCTCTTCATATGCATAAAAGGGATATTACTTCGGTCAAAGGAAACATTAAAGGATTCTCACTCAAATTCCTAATAGAGAAAGCCACTACTTTTATGGATGCTCAGAGTTGGGAAGCTTGTTACGCTGTAATTGCATTGGCTATTTATGGAATCTTTTGAAGGTGAGAAAAACATAAGAAGAGGGTTGAATTGTGTTGACTTTTCTCAAGCTTTTTTCCTGCTTCTAATTGAACTTGATCAGAGTCTGAACCTTCATTTTAGAGTCTTACTCCGATTCTGAACTCTTGTATTTCTTTATCAGTTCTGAAATAAAATCTGACTCAGATGTAAACAGATGATAGTAGTAGAATAAAGTTCAGAAGCAAGTAAAGTAAAAGTACAAGACACAAGAAGTTTATCCTAGTTCCTCTCACAACATGAGAGTAGTCTAGTCCCATTGCTCTTCAAGAGATTTCCACTATAACCAAATCTGATTACAAATGCTCAAGCCTAAAAGAAAGAGAATTCATTTGTTTACACACACAAAGACACGCACAAGTATAAAACTTCCTTGCTCAGACCCACAAGTCTAAGACTTCCTTTCTCAAGCACACAAGCTCAAGACTTTCTTGATCTAGCACACATGCTAATGACTTCCCTGCTCAAACATACAGGTCTAAGACTTCCTTGCTCAAGCACACAAGCTTAAGACTTCAAATGCTCAACCACTAAAGCAGGAGACTTCTGACTTTAAACAAACTGTCAGGAGATTTGGGTAACAACTATACTTGATATTCGATCAGGTGGAGATACAATACAACTTAGAAATACTCTAAGACTTAATAAATTCTAAAAATATACAAGTGTTAAGATTTTCTAAGTCTGAAAAATTTGACAGAGTAGCTTCTCATTGATTGTCAACATTCAGATTTTGCAGTAGAGTTGTATTAGTGCATTGTTATCTTCTTCTTCAGGCCTGTAGCTCCTTTTATAGAGAGGAGAAAAAGAGACGTTGAAGACTTTCACCAAATAGGTTGGGTTAGCTTTCTACATGATTAGACACATCACAAAGCACCTTTCTGCATGAGAAACTATCAATTGAGGCTCAGGCATCCAAGAAGAGATTTTTCCTTAAGTCTTCTCGTGATCAAAAAGTCTCTGAGTCTATTAGAGTTGTCTTGGTAGAAGAGCTTCTGCTTCATAGGTCGACTTTTCTTCAAACTTCACTCTTTAGAGGCTTGATCACATCAAGGTCCACTTCTTGGCATCTGAAGCTTTAGAGTTTGGGTCACTAAAGGCTGACTTTCTTCAGAGCTGAGTTCTTTAGAGTCTAGACCTCTATCAGAGCTAGAGTCTTCAGAAATGATCTTCAAAGTCAGATTCTAATCTTCATAAGCAAGTTCTTGAAACGATTATTCATCTATTCTTAATGATGTATTCCTACAAACTTGAACAAATGTTAGAAAACCCAATTTCTCTTTAAATATTTTGCTATCATCAAAATCCAATGGATATGGTATCAACCAATTTTGTTTCAACAATATTCCCTTTTTTTATGAAGACAAACAATAATGTTTAAGAATAACGGTTATTGATTTAATTAACTTGTTGACTTCAGGATCAGAGGTTTGTAAGCTCCTCCTGAGTATGATAGTCCAGAGAGTGAGACAGCCTTGCATTAATGACTCTTACATCTTTTGAAGTAGAATCAGACTATTACAACGAGTGAGAAATGTACATATGTGTTCCACTTTTATAAAATTCAAGTTTTTAACATTCAAGTCATTTTCAGCATTTTAGTTATCTACGGTCATTTTAGTTCTTTACATTTCAATCAATTTTCGTTTCAATCCTTACTCAAACATTATATTTCGACTTTGATGTCAATTTGCTCAAAATTCATGATTCACACAAATATGTCCTGGGATCTTTTCAAGTTTAATCCCTTAAGTATTAATGAAAACTTGTTTTGTTTACTAAATTTCACCATAAACACAACCTTCACACTAAGTCGTGTCAAATCAACGAGGATGTTTTTGAAAGTGCTGATATGAGCCTGAAAATCGTCTCCTTTCTGCATCTTTAAGCTATAGAGACGCTGCTTCGTGAACAACTTTTTCATGAGCGTCTTGGATATATACTGATTATCCAATTTTTTCCAAACATTCTTCAGAGTTGTGAGATCCAAGATATGATTCATCACGTCATTAGAAACACAAAGTCTTATCAAACTTGAGGCTTTCTCCTTCATATCATTCCAATCAATGATTGTGATATCTGTCAGTTTATCAAACTCATAATTATCTCACTAATATAGTCATATTTAACCGTATTTAACTCATTCAAATAAATGTCAAAAGTACTTCTCTAAATGATTTCTTAAATGAGAAAATTTGTGTACATCAACCTATTAATTTTGATAATTTAAGAAACAAAACCATGTATTTAAACTCACCAATGATCTATATGGACTTAAACAAACTCCAATGATTTGGTATGAAAGGTTAAGTACATTTCAAATTAACCATACTCAACAATATATCAGTCATTTGTTTATACCAGTAACAACTCTGTCTTTTCACCAGATATATGTTTTGGTTATTTAGTGTTTGATATTTCTAAGGTCACAATTCCTACCAGTCCCACATATAGATGGTTGGTTGTAGCCTGCAAAGTGAACCCTCGTGTTCCCGAAAACCGGGCCAACTACTTGATTTCAATGTAAACCTTCTGGTTTTCCTCACATTCGTAACTGTTTGTGCTTTCGCTCGTTGTTGCCGACATCAGTTTACAATACTAGGTTTACCCTACCAGTACCACATAGTAGATAAGTAGCAGAATCATTTGAAAACTGTACTCACTGACCTATCGATACAACATCACCTAAAGCTAGTGCATTATTAGTGATTCCCCAACATCACCTGTACTTTCTACCTGAGGACATGCATCAGGTTATATTGTTAGAGCCATAATAAACCGCTACTGTTTTTCTGTAAGAGCATCACTACTGCATGTTTTATTCAGATTGCTAAAGTTTATGACAGAATTATGTATCTGATAATTTGTTTTACCAGTGGAGTTGGTTTCTGATTTTGACAGTAAAATACTAGAAACCTAACACGGTGTTCGGGATTCAAAACAAATAAGAGCGTGGACATTATGGTTGATATTATCGTTTGATCAGTGGTTAAGAAATCTATGAAATGAAAGTTTGTTTGTAATCAAGTTCAACATAGTTTACCATTTCTGCTTTTCCTTATACAATACCTCTGTCATTACTTTGGCCCCTTTATCAGTGACTTGTGTGGTTAAAAACAAAAGAATGTCCTACTTCTGCTCATAGGCCACATTATTTCATATATACCATACAAATCAAAACACAAGTTGGGTTTGGCTAGCAAGAGTTTGTAAAGGGCAATACTCATTGCTTACTAGTTCTCCCGGTCTATGAAAATTCGAAAGTACTCTCTCACCTTTTAGAGATTGAAATCTAGAAGCACCCAATGCACAAATAGATATATCCTAATATTGTAATCCGGATTCATCATCTAATGACAACAGTATCTAATTTCCGTCATATATGGTTCGTCAAAATTTCAAAATCCAGAAAATTTTGTATTCAATATATTAAAATTTTAGAAGAAAAAAAAGGCATTTTGGACAGGTACGGATTTCGAAATCCAAACAGGGTTTTTGCATTCTGGACGTTTCAGATGAACATGAACTCTCGTGTAATATGTGCGTCCGAGTTTTAAAATCCAGACAGGGTTTTTGTACATTCAAGGTGTTTCAGATGAGTCTGAGATCTCTTGCAATATGTGATGCGTCCAGATTTTAAAATCCGAACGGTGCAAAAAGGGCATCTTTAGAAATTTCTTCGGATTTGAGAGCACTATTAGGGGTACAATGATGAACCCTTTTATAAAACACATTGGACTTGCAAAGTTACAAGAGTTTATATACATTATAAGTTGCTTATTAAAATATTTTTGGTTCAGCCAGGTTTTGCTTCATAACTCATGGGATATTAAAGTACAATAAAAATTAATGAACAAAGATAAAAACATACTCAATGGTGAACGAACACTACTAAGAGATTCCAAATATATTGTTGATCAAGAATTGACAGATGAAATCAAAGTTAAAGAACCTTTACAGCAAAGAATTTGGAGCTCCTCAAAAGACATGAAGGTGTATGTGCTGTTTGAGAATGAATTAACTCCTAAATCTAGTTACTATTCACCTCAAGTTGGGGTTTTAGACCCATAGTTGGTTGTTGCGAACCAATTGTAGCTACGGTTATCTTCAAAACTAACCACAAACAGCCAGAAATTTTTCTTCATCTTGTCAATATTCCTTGAAATCCTACGTTTGAGTAACTCCAATGCTGCAGAAAACAATCCTTTACCATCAACAATAGAGCTCCTTTGATATTCAAGAATCCAAGTATTAGGATCTAGTTGAACCACTGAGGCACCCCATTCTGGTTGTATCCATGAAGTATTAGCCTTTCGAATCAAATAGCTAACTTGTCCACCACTCCACTTTTAAACAGAAACAAAAAAACAACATTAAGTTAGTCAACAATAATATATGTATACATACAGACCCCTTAGATTGAGCGCGTGTCCAACCCGTGTTGGTTCACGATGCACAGACACAAACAAGCACACAAAACAGGACATCAATAATGACACATGGACAACACCAATACTACTTTCAAAAAACGAACAGATTGAGGGTGTGCCTGACCCGTTGGTTTATGAAGCACCTGCACAAACACGAACACAAGACAGGACACCAATAATGACACATGGACGATACCGATACTAATTTCAAGACATGAACAGATTGAGAGTGTGTCCAACCCGTGTTGGTTTATGAAGCACGGGCACAAACACGCACACATGACATGACACCAGTAATGACGCATGGACGACACCAATACTAATTTCAAGAAAAGAACAAATTGTAAGTAATCACATGATTAGGCATCGTGTCAAACACTTACACATGTCGAACACCTGACACGTCTTTGTTAAGAGGTGTCTGTCTTTGTTCAGAGGTATTCGTGCTACATAGGTGCATTGCTGTTGGATACATTCATATAAACATACACTGATCCAAATGTCTAAATATTTAATTTTCTCAAATTATTATGGCTATCAACACATTAGTGTTCTGTCTCTATTTTCAATCAACCATAAATTGAAACAGAAAGCATTTTGGAGAACTTAATTTACCTCGGTAACTCTTCCCGATAAGATAGTTAGGGTCCGAGAAGACATCCCGGTTGTGATCATTCCAGCAGTTTGTAGAGGCCAACCCCAAATTGCAACCTCCTCCATTGCTGATTTGTACAATTTGCATTTTGAATTCAATAACAAACCATCCTATATACAAATTTCAAAGCCAAATTCAAAAACTCACTCTTTTTAACAAATCAAGAAACATTTTTCAACAAATAGTCCGAAAATCACAATACCTGGCTAACTTCCCATGAGCTACCAGTAAAACTACAGTTTGAAACTTTTCCACGAACAACATTTCCCAATTCCTTCTGCAAAAACCTCAACTTTCCATTCAAATCCTGAATTTGATAACCTTTCTCACCAACCCTTTTCACTAATTCCGGCGACAAAGAAGGTCGATAAACCACAGAAACAACCCTCGACAAAACAACATCAGCAAACAAAAGAACCCCCAAAACCATCATCACATTCAACACACCAACACCAGAGGAAAAAGCCCTCTTTTTACCCTCGCTCTTCATCTCCATTCTCTGAACATGATTCGATTTAGCACTCGATTTGACGACAGGAGTAGACGGTGGTTCTATACAGCTAGAACCGTTTCTTGGCGTGTTGAAAATGGAAGAATCAAAGGTGATTGGAGAGTAGGTATTGAAATTGGGTTTGGAAGAAGAGAACTTGGTTAAGGAGCTATTGGGTACGAGATCAAGGGTTGCGTTGATACTGGCAATGCAAAATTCACATTTGCAGTTAGCGTTTTTCTTGCAACCAGGGTAGTAGCAGCTGTTTTCATGAGAATCTTGTTCTTGTTCTTCGTCGTTGATGGATGATTTTGGTTCCTGAAAGTGAAATCTCATGGTTGCTTGAATTGATTTTCAGATATTTTCTTGTTCTTGTTGGGTTGTGGATGTATTGGGATTGTTGAAGTTTGATTTATGAGGTGAAATTTGAAGAATTAGAGGTAAAAGTTTGAATCAGAAGCCCAACGGTCGTATCTGTATGTGGAATCCGTTTTTTTCAGGGCTGAAATTATGTGTTGCTATGTTGTGTCATATTTTTTTTGTTTAAAAAAATTATTTATAGGAATAAATATTTTGAAAATTAAAAGTGAAAATTTTGATTAGGTTAAGCTTGTTATAATAGTACCACTAGTTATGTAGTTTGTTTTGTATAGTTAAGTATTCTTAGTATACTTTGCTGTATAGTTAATTATGTTGGTTTGTTCATCTATCTCTAAGAGCAAGTGTATGTGTATATAGAGGTTTTTTTTTGTTTTTTTTTATTCTTCATTCAATAAAATAATTATTCTTTTCATTATGACACATGTCTTTCTTTTCTTTTTTCTTTTTTTTTTTTTCCTGTTTTCATCATCAATCTCTCTTGAGATCTTTATCATTAACATGGTATTAGAGCTTAATAAACTCTGGTACTCATTGTTACATATTTCATGTGAGGTGTCTTTTCTGTAATTCTTTGAAGATTCATTTTGAGTCTTTAATTCGTTGTCGTATACATGTTAAAAACAAGAATTCAAAATGTAGTAAAACAGAAGCGACACTCGAGAGTCGTATCGCAAGGATTCTTGGATGATTTTTACCAATAATTGGAACAAAGGGGGGAGCGTTAGGTTTTAATTAAGGTAACAGTAAAAAGTAATTGATTCCGAATAAGCTAAAGCGGTTAATCTGCTGATTCAAATTCCGACTTATCACTGGTTATTATAACTTCAATCCTCTAAGCGGATTATCTATTTCTATTCGATCACAGTGTCAATCAACAAGCGTGAACAATACTATAAGAATTATATTCATAATTACCTTATTAAGCGTACAGTTAAAGATTAGGCAAAGCTAGCAAAAAAGTTAAGTTAACACGCGATTAAAATTAGAAACATGCACCTATCGAATTAAATCAATATACTATATGAAAATCGATTTAAGCATACAAGAATCATATAATAAAATTGAACGAAATAGAAATTGGATTGAAATTATTACAACCTCAAAGTGCGATGGAATCTGTAATCAGCAAAATTCACCTTTGGAATTAGTTCTACATGAAACTGTACAAAGCTAATTTTCGTGAAAAAAATTTCAGAATGCATAACTTAGGTTAAACAACATAAGAAAATCGGATTCTAATCCAAACCGGGTCGAAAAACATAAAAATCGGCCCAAAATTATTTATTTTCTTAAGCATGGAACTAAAATGAATTATTTGACCCTTCTAAACTTCTAATTAGCTTTTAAATTCAATACAAAACTTGTAGCTTATCCTATCTGATTTCCAACGCATATTAGAACGCGTCAATCTAATTTTCGTAGCTGAAGTTATGACCTACACAGCGAGAAGATGTAAATAACTGTTTATTTAGAAAATAAGTAACTGAATAAAAATAAAAACAAAAATAAGCTAAACTTGAAAAACGTACTTAAAATAATGAAAAAGACAAAATAAATTATAGAATTTTCTTACTACAATAGGAGAAGACTGTGCATCAAAATACACTGATCAATCTTCATTTTCTTTCTTGCGGCTTTTCTTTGTCATCGCATTCTTGAATCGTAATTTCTTCTTTCTACAATGGTGCACCAGAGCTTCCCTATTTTTTCCACCAATTCTGCAAATCCATATTACTTGTATTCGAATGAGAATCCAACTCTTGTTCTTGTTTCTCCATCGCTTGATGACAAAAATTATCATACCTAAGCCTGACTGATGTAAATTTTGCTGATATCTAAGAATAAAGACAAGTTTATCGATGGAGCCTTAACAAAACCCTCTGCTACTAATCCTCTTTATGTGACTTGGATTCACTGCAATACCATGGTGCTTGCATGGATTCAACGATAAAATTTTAGAATTATTGCAATTTTGGTGCTCTAGATTGATAGTGTAGTTGATGTTTGGAAGAATTTGCAGACTCGTTTCTCTCAGAGTGATATTTTCTACATTTTAGATATTCAAGAAGATCTCTACAAATTTCATCAAGGTGCTCTCAATGTTTCCAATACTATACTCAATTGAAGGTTATGTGGGATGAATTAAAGAATTATCGCCCACTTCCTGCTTGTTCTTGTGAAATCCCTTATTCTTGTGATGATGCTGCATCTGTTCAACAATATAGAGAACAAGATTATGTGATATGTTTTCTTAAGGGATTGAATAAAAAATTTACTAACTCTAAATTACAGATTATGATGATAAATCCTTTATCAGATATTGACAAAGCCTTTATCTTGTTATTCAACAAGAAAAAGAGGTGAATATCTATATATCTACTTTCATTCCAAGTGTTAGCAATACTGAATAAGTCACGACTTTATAGGTTCAAACTTATCAGGGAAATCTTAGTGGTAAACATTGTTATAACAATTTCAAAGAAAAGTATCAAGCATTTAGTGGTCTTAAAGGTCATAATCGTGTATGCAGTCACTAAGGCAAAACAAATCAAGCAATTGAAACATATTTTTCTAAAGTGCAGTTTCCCACCAGGTTTCAAAGGAAAAAGTAAAGTCCAAGGAACTGGTATCCCTTCATAATCTAATACTACAGTTAAAAATGCATCAGAATCCTCTTTACTAGGATCTAGTACATCTTCATTTGGTTTTACTCAAGAGCAATATAAAAACATCCTAGAATTGTTTCAACAATCCAAGATCACTCCCAAGGACAAATCATTTTCTTCAAATGTCAATGGTAAGCATTATAATCTCTAGATCTTAGATACTAGTCCTACTTACCATATCTCTTATAGTATTTCATCCTTCATTAAATACAAAACCATAGTTTCTACATCAGTTAGTCTACCAGGTGACTCTTAAGTTACTACCTCTATTTCTGGTATTGTTGTTGTTTCTTCTTGCTTAACCTTGCATAGTGTGCTTTATAACCCTAGTTTTCATGTTAACCTCATTTCAATTGCCAAAATAATTATTTTTTTGTGCAATTCAATGCTAATTCTTCTCACATCCTACAAAATCATTTCAAAGAGATGCTTGGTATAACTAAGTTGCAAATAGGCTTGTATGTTCTTGACTCTGCAGGACACTGTTCATCCTCTTCCTTTATTGTAAATAATTCTTGTAATATTTCTGCTTAAGACTAGGCCACAAATCTTATATAGGTTTAAAATATGTTTAAAAAAAATTCCATTCACTTCTTGTAAAAGTAATGATGTTCCTTGTGATTCATGTCTTTTCTCTAAACAAAGAAAGCTTCTTTTTCCTAATAGCACTACTCATTCTTCTGCTCCTTTTGATATTTTGCATGTTGATTTGTGGGAACCTTTTTCTACTATATCTACCTTAGGACACAAGTATTTTTAACCCTCATAGATGATTACACAAGAAACACTTGGGGTCATTTTTCTCAAAAGTAAAGATTAAACCAAATCCAACTTCATTCAATTTGTATATTATATTGAGAATCAATTTCAAAAATCTCTCAAATATTTAAGATCTGACAATTACACATAATTTCTTGCCATGTATGCTTTTCTTTTGTCCAAAAGTATTATTCACCAAAAGTCATGTGTTGAAAACTCCAACAAAATGGAGTGGTAGAAAGAAAACATTAACATATTCTCAATGTGGTTAGATGTTTATTTTTTCATTCTAACATTCCTTTGAATATGTGGAATATTTGTGCGTAACATGTCATTCATATCTTAATAGATTACCTACCCCTTTATTGAAATAAAAGTGTCCTTATGAGCTTTTTTCATGACCCTCAATCTCTAATCCATATGAAGGCTTTTGGTTGTTTGTGTTTTGCTTCTACTACTCTTCAAACACATTGGACAAAAATTGACCCTAGGGTTTGGAAATCTATTTTCATTTGTTATAAGGAGGGTACTAAAGGATATATCTTATATGACTTACAATATTATAACACTTTTGTGTCTAGGAATGTCATTTTCTATGAAAACATGTTACCTTTCAAACAAAGCACCTCACTATCCATTCCTGGACCTACTTCTTAATATATTAATTCCTTATCCAATGGTATAACCTTTGATACTATTTAACCTTTTCACTCCCCGCCTAAGAACTCTGCTTTTATTCTCGGGGATCTTAATGTTCCTCCCCCAAATTCAGAAACTATTTCTTCAAGACGTTCTGCAAGAGCCTCGCATCCTCCTAATTACTTAGTAGATTATCACTGCTACTTTGCCTTCTCTCCATTACAGTAAAACCTTGCTTATCCTTTAACATAATCAATGCTCTCCCACATATAAACATTTTTTGAACCATATCCTCAAATATTGAATCCAAAACATTTCTAAAGACCATTAAGCTTGACTGTTAGAAACATGTTATGAATGTTAAGTTGCAAGCTCTTGCAGCAAACCAAACATGGACTGTAGTTGACCTACCACATGGAAAGGTTCCTATTGTTCGCAAAAGGGTATACAAGATCAAATATAAGGCCAATGGTTCTATTGAAGGTATAAGGATTGGATAGTTTTTAAGGGTTACACTCAAATGGAAGATATTGATTATTTTGATACATTTTCTCTTATAGCTAAGATTACTACAGTTAGATTTTTATTGTATATTGCTACAATTAGAGGATGTCATTTGGAGCAGTTAGATGTTAACAATGATTTCCTCCATGGTGACTTGAATGAAAAGGTATATATGACCTTCCCTTCTGACCTCTCTATCTCTAAATCATCTCAGGTGTGTAAGCTTCAGAAATTATTATATGGTTTAAAACAGGCAAGTAGGCAGTTATATTCTAAGCTTTCTTCTGTTTTGTTTCTTTGGGATACTATCAATCACAGAAAGAGCATTCAATATATGTCAAATCAAGCAAGGATAATTTCATTCCTTTTCTTATTTATGTTGATGAC